AAGCTTGTTCTAAGTAGGTGCTTTAGACCACTGAGCCATCTCGCCAGCCCCTGGGCAGTATTTCTTTTGCTTTATTTTTCATAGATTACATACATGTTAGCAATAAAACCCTGAGAGCTCCCTGAGGTACCCAAACTCCTTCTGAGATCTTAATGTCTGATTCCCAGCCTGAAGGATTCAAATTCCGTGGAAAGAATGAAGCTTTAAGAAAGGAAATTTGACCTTTTATAAAAAAGTCAGTTGCTCAGTTGGAACTTAAACCACTTTTTTCTTTGAGACAGGGTCTTGTTATGTTGCCCAGGTTGGTTTGTGACCCTCTTCTCTGAGCTTCCGGAATTACAGGCACACACTACCATGCCTAACTTATAATACAGTTTTCCCAACATCTTTTTTTAATTAGTGCATATTGGTCATACAAATTAATAGGTTTCATTTTGGCAGAGTCATACATAAACATATTTTGATCAGTTTCAACCCCCATCACCCCCTTCATAATACAGTTTCAAACCAGGAAGCACAAGGTCCTGAGTGCAGTTTCCAGTACCCTCCTAAAAAACCAGACCAAAAAAATAATACAGTTTTAAAGAGTTTTCATTATACACACAGTGGGGGTATTTTGTGCATGCTATCATTTCATCATTTTTAATTGACTTACATGGAGAAATATACTATGTATAGACAGACACAAATGGATCAATAAACATTTGTCAGGGCAGGTAGGCTTAATGCTTAAATAATAAAGTGATACCATTTTTGAAATTAGTATATTCATCTCACCACAGGAAGAAACAATGATTGCTCATTCCTGGAGGGAAGTTCTATAATAAATAGGTTATTAAAATTTCAATTAACACTAAAACTTCCAAATGAAACTTTTAATGTTTTGTAAGAGTAAACTCCTATAATCATAAAATTTAGCGTAAGAAGGAATCTTGAGACTTATCTATACTGGAAAAAGAGGATACTTGTAATAAAGTGTAGAGATAATTCCCAGAGTAAACAATACCAATGGTCAAAAACAGTTTATGCTTACAAAACCTTAGAAACATATTAAGTGAAAAAAAGTCAGAACACCCATACTCAGTTATATTTGAAAGCTCAAAAACAAGCAAAATTAAATAAATTATTGCACAAATGAAATATGTATGAAAAAGGAAGTGTTATGGTTTAGATATGAAATGTCCCTTGAAGTTCCTGTGTTGAGGGCTTGTCCCCAGTGCAGGAGTGTTCACAGATGAGGCCTTTGGAAGGTGACTGGGTCATAATTTGATGGCATTATTTGGTGGCAATGAAAACTTAGGAGGTAAGATCTAGTCAATGAGAGTGGGTTCCACCCCCATACAGCTCGGGGGCCTCTAGCTTGTCTTTGAATCCTCCTTCTTTGGCTGTCTCTCTGCTTCTTGGCTACCTCATGAGGTAAGCAGCTGCCTTCTGCCACACCTGCCATGATGTTTCCACCTTGCCACAGGCCTGAAAACAATGGAGTGAGCCAGTGATGGACTGAACCCTCTCAAACTACGAGCCACAATAAATCTTTCCTAAAATTAATTTCTCTCAGGTATCTGTGTTATAGAGATGGAAAGCTGACTAACATATAGGGAATGGAAAAATAAAAAACAGAAAGTCTAAAAACTATATATTACATACCTGTGAGGCAGTACAGATGGCTTGGAAAGGATTACATAGGTGGGAGCAACAGGAAAGGAATGTTCTGACTCCAGTGTTTTATGATGGTTCCATTACTTTTTATTTTTTAAATATCCTTTTTTTTTTTTGATTTTAGGGAAGAGTCTATAGGGTGTTCAGGGTCTTACTGCTAGATTGGACTTGTAGTGATCTGCCTGTTTATAGCCTCCCAAGAGCTGGGATTACAGGCGCGCATTATCGTGCCCAGTCTCAATTGCTGTCTTAGCATGCCCCTGTGCCTGCTTGCAGGTGCTTTAATCTGCTGAGCTATTTGGCCAGCCCTTAATATCCTCTAACAAAAGTGTTACATATTTTCTTTTTTATATAGCAAATATTAAATAATTTATATGTTCAAATAATTCTAGGCTTCTAAATGCAAAGTTTTAATTTTGTCCATTAAAATGAGAAATATCAAGTTCACAGGTGAAATGAAGCTTTCTGAGAATAATTTGGTAGTATATATGAAATGACTTTACATTTTGTAGCCAGTGGGCTTGGGATGTAGTTCAGTGGTAGTGGTGAAACTTGCATTTAGCATGTGTGAAGCCATGGATTCCATACCCAGCATGTGTGCACATGTATGTGCATGTGTACACACAAATATGTAGCCAGGAGGATGGCAGAAGAGGCAGGCAGACTTCATTCTCCCAGAGACATTGACTTAACAATAATACATGGTCTAAAACCTTTATGAAAACTCCAGAAACTACTTCAGAGGCTAGAATATCTAAGCAAGCTCAAAGCTAAGAACAAGTATGGAAAGCTCTTTCATGTACAGTATGTCAGCTCCTTACCCAAGCTAGCACGGGACAAAAAGGCCAAGTCACAGCTTCTCCCTTGGCAAGAAAAGGGAAAAGTGGAACATACAGCCAACATCTGGATTTTTCACTTCTCTGTGAATTCCCAAGAAGCTGCTACACTCTGGGTACTTGGTGGTTGGTAAGAACAAAAGCAAGCTCTGTATCTTGCTTCAGGCTAGAATGCCACAGATGGATGCCAGCATGGCCCATGTGAGTAGGAGCTTATGGGTTTTCATTGGAAGGGAAAGAAAAGAGTGGGATGTAAGTCAAACGTTAAGGCTTTTCCCCCCATAATTTTATTGAGAGACAAATAATACTGAGACAGTTTCAAATCAAATTGGTAGGACAGTTTCAATAATTAACACATTGCATACTGTCTTCCTAGTGGTTAATTGCTGTACAATATGCGGACATGATATCCTATTTACAAACACTATTAGAACAAATCCCTCTATTCATTAAGAGAATGTAACTAGATATCTATCCTAACCATTTTTAAGGCTTTTGATGCTGCTGATGAACTGATATCTACCTCATCTGATCAGGCAAACACAAGCTGAGTCATCACACTAGATCTCCCTTACAAGAATTGCCGGTGTGGTACCATACATCTGTAATTCCAACACTCTAGGAGGCTCAGGCAGCAGAATCACGAGTTCTAGCCCAGCTTGGGCAACTTAATACCTTAGTGAGATTCTGCATCTGAGTGAAAATTAAAAATGGATTGGGAATGTAGCTCAATGAGAATGCCCTGGGGTCAATTCCCACTACAGCAAACAAAACCAAAACCAAAAACTATACACTAGTAGGGATCAAAACCAAGGTGTTTCATATGCTAGGCAAGCACTGAATCACTGACCTACATTCTTGGCCCAAAAAGAATAA